AATGGTCTATGGTAAATCTGCTGAAACAATTTTTAATTAAATCTTACCAGAGGATTGGCTTGACGGAAACCTCTATAATCCTTGATACCTATGAACTTTGTATGCGAATAGGTTTCCTTATTGAAATTTGGCCAATTGGTACCCATTCACAGAAAATATCTCAGCATTGTTTGGAATCAACAGCTGCTTTTCTTTTGAATAAATGTGGTTTCTAAAGTGTAATAGTCGGCCTCATTCAGATTTCATAGATAAAAGCATCACTCTTAGTAATGATATTCATGATTAACTGTTTAAAGATAAGGCTATTGATGAAATACGTGCGGCTCTACTTTGAACGCAATATGTCTTTACGACAAATGCCTTAGTCATAAGTGATGTGTGAAATGATTCAAAGTATTAATAGTATCCTTAATCCAATCCATACTGGTTCCCATCTCTTGCACACATTAAAACACATTCTTCATCATTTTCCAATAGTTCGAAACAAGGTTAAGTAGTATTCCTCACTATACCTAAAGGCCTCCAGTAAAACTAAGTAAATTCCGAAACAGCTTGGCTTTCTGCGGGAGAAAAGCAAGTGAAAAATGTTAATTATTTATATCAAATGGTAGGCTTTAAAATAGTTATCAATAACTTTGTGTGCACACGTGGAGGTAATTATCGTACACACTACAAAATTTCTACTAAATAGTAATAAGTAGAAAAGTGTACTTATAGCAATATTTAATCAAATGGCAGGCGTTTTGATAGTTATTATTAGCCCTTTAGTTGACTTCGGCGTTTTGATAGTTATCATTAGCCATTTAGCTGACTTCGGTAATATTATTACTTATTTATTGATAGTTATTATTAGCCCTTTAGTTGACTTCAGGCTTCACAGAGAGAAAGGGATATCAAAGTGAAATAAATTAAGAAGGGGGGAGGGGAGAACAAAAGAGTGCTTCAAAGATGTAAAAGAGACAGACAGTACTGTGGAAGTAGTCGAATATGACATACAGTGGGGTGATGGTAGTTTGAAGTGGGAAATCAACTGCCAAGTAATGCACTTTTTTGTCGTATGGGATGAATTCTCAAACCTGGACTTTTCAGTATTGGAAGAACACAGCTGTCTTGGTACTCGAAACGTGCCATAAACTTATTAGGTGTGGTATTAATTAGTAGATAAAATGCAAGGAACAGCAATAGTGGTCTGCATCGAATGTGCATAACAATGACCTTGTTAACTGTATCAGCTTAAAGCCAGACTATAAAAAAATAAAAAAATACTGAGCTTGTGGGGATAAAATGGACAAGAAAGTCACTCAACTTATTTTTGCACTATCACGGGTGTGAAATTTATGTATTTATTCCAAATTTAAGACTAATCAACGAAAAGAATGGAAAAATGGAGGAAGTTGTGGCTCAAAGACCCCATTTTTAATGTGCTAAAACGTGAAAACCATTCCTTTCGTTGATAGAAAAGAGAGGAGAAACCAAGGGATGATAATTTAATAGTCAAGTTACAAGGGTGCCTAACTTTGAAGAACAGAAATTGGGTTTTGTTGTTGGTGTCATCATACCTTCACAAGATTGGTCATCGGGAGGCATCTGAATTAGGAGCAGAATGCGGGCCACAGAACTTTTAAAACTCTAGGTAGAGCCAAGAACTAGAACAATAGATCAGGAATTTCAAGACTTGATTTGGGGACAAAGGCTATTGAACAAATATGTTGAATTTTAATATAGGTAGAGCAATATAAATTGAGGTCTAAACAGATTATCTGCTATTGCAAAGCAGTAGATATGTGAAATTTAAAATTCCTATGTCGATAAGTGGATCAACGGGAGCCACCAAAGTTTGATTAAAGAAGAGTTTTGGGGTAAAGTTCAATTTCCAAGTTCACTTATGATAAGTCATATTATAATATTTGGTTTTGATTAATCACTTATAATGTGAGGAATTTGGGTGAGAAAAGGCTTTTTAAATACTAACCCGATTTCCAATAGCATCAACTTATTCGGCAAAAACATCTTCATTCATTAATACCTATTGTTGTTGACGTATCTTCAGGTATCTAAAATGTTAGCCAGAGATTGATTTAGAAAATTAGTAATGGACCGTCGGTAGGCAAAATTAAATGACATTGAGTTGTCGTTTTACTACATTCAGTAGTCTGACATTCTATTAATACATAGGCGCACAGCGATTCTGACAGTTTGAGAATAGTCAAGGGGCAAGAACTATTATCTGACTAGTGATATTTTGAGCCCCAAACAACAATCTGAAAATAAGTAGTATTCATTAGTGGGGTGTTTGTTTAGTCAATGAAATGTCTTGGATAAGATGCATAAACGTTCATTCTTCTCTCTTTGGGTTTGAGTTAATTAGTGCCGAATAATATATAGTTCAACAACAACGGAAATGAAATAAGTAGATAAATGGGAGATGCGAAGGTATTGCTGGAAAGCATATGAAGCAAAACAGAAGGAGACCTGGAGAATAATCAAACTCAATAAATCGACTGGTCTCTTTTATCGTAGCTGAGTTTATGCTGATTACTGATTTGGGTGGAACAGCGAAAATATAGCCTCATTTTGAAAGGCTTGTTTTAAGTTTCCATTCTGTTTTTTATACATATATATGGTGGTTCAATTACTGACTTCCTCCATATAGGCCAATTCAAGTCAGATTAACTATTGACAATTGTGATTTAAACCCACCCTTAAGAGCCTGATATGGGATACAATTTGATTACTTTGGTACATTAAAATGCCACCAATTCCAAGTTTGTTTTACTAACGTCGCTAAAAGCTCATTAACCCTTTAGCTGACTTCGGCCTTCACGAAGGAGAAGAACATCAAAATCACAAAAAGTCGAGAGAATGGTAACAGAAGATTGATCCACAGATGTAAACGAGACAGAAACGAAGGCAGAGAAAAAGGCAAGATGAGTATTTTAAAAGTGGATCGAATAAGACATACAATCGGATCATGGTAGTTTGTAGACAGAAGTCAACTGCCGGTTTATAGACTTTTTGCCGTATGAATATACGTTGCCCAGGATGTACCATGTGGAGGTAAGTCTATCGAGCACTACATAATGCAACGATCTATAATTATTAAATTGAGCAGTAAAATTGCTGAGGGAGGTTAAAAATTGGGATTTTTTCCACCAAACACTATAATTACTAATGTTTGCATTAGTAGCAACGTAAAAGCCAAAATTGGTACAACATGAATTAAAGAAGAATGCACTCATCTGCAAGTCATTACTTCTATAATGTAAATCAGTGCAAAGTGCTCCAAATCACATACTCTAACGTTCATAAATTAAGTGCACTGCGCAATATGTAAAATCGATCAGAAACGTGAGGTTGAAGTCAAAATGTGATTTTTCTCATAATGAATAACGCTTTATCTGGTTGACGAGTACAGATGTGAAAGCTTCATTAAATTAGATGAAGAGCCTCAATAGAAAAAATTGCAGGCAAGAACCCCATTCTCCTGTGAAAAAGTTGAGAAGCAGTCATAAGAGTGGGAAATGAGGATAACTGAGAGTTTCACAGAGTTGTGAGGAACAGAAGAGATTATGAATGCTGAAACGGTTGTCAAATTTTATGTACTCTGCCTATTGACGTATCTGAAACCCGGTGATTCAAACTGAGCAGGCACTGACGGTTATTTTTAAACTCAGGTGTTAGTAAAGAGAATACCTGCTACATGATTATCCCAGAAATTGTTTTGACATAATTAATCCGATTCTAATCTCTCTGCCTTCTACGCATTGATTAAGATACCATAAGCTGGAAGCACTACTTAACACAGATTTTCACAGTAATCAACATTTTCGTACGTGAGATCAGAGTTCATATCGGAGATGACCACTTTAAAACACACTGTAAAAGGAATGATTAGGTTTTGTCAATGAGATGATGCCAGAACTCCAATTTCTCACCAAGAAAGTTCCATATTGCTGCTTTATACTCAAGAAAAGTGCCGAGGGAAATTTTTTACGCTAACATACTTATAATTTTATGATATGGAGCGAAGGCTAAACACGACGATTAAAGAAACCGCGAAACAGATTATTTAATTTGAATGCATAATTCGCCACAAATATAAAGATGACTGAAAAGTGCGAAGTTTTTATGCTAAACGTAGAGTTGATAGGTTCTATTTGGAAAATTCGCTTCCACAAAGCTCGAATCTATTTTCTCTGAAACACATTATAAGGTCACGAAAATGTGAAAAGAAATATTCATACATTCTTTCGAGTGAACCATAGTAACTCAAATTCTAAAATTGCCAACTCTTTCTACCAGGACACTTTCTAGATAATTAGCGACGTTAAGTTCAAATAGCGTGTCAGGAAATTATAGGCTGCAAAACACCAATAAACACGATCGGTTAATATCACGAGACTATAATATCTGCCGTGCATTTTTTAAGATATTTATACTAGTTTAAGCCACCTTCTCTCGAATGCAAAAAGGTGTCAAAAAATAGCAACGGCATGACCAATTACGAAAAGAACTCAAACTGTATTAACCTGTTTCTATCACCTCATTGTGACAACCACGACACAAGTAGTCAAATAATTGTTGAGAATACACCCCCCCCCTCCCCATTACTGAGAGGATGAAACTGTCAAAATTTTTCAAAACATAGGTAGACAAAGGCTTCATTGATGTCATTGCTTCATCCAGTACTTAAACTTCATTTAATTCCTTGTTTTGCAACACAATTAGCCATTTTGATTGAAGTTCGAAAAAAACTACTCTAGTGAAGCAAAGGACCTTTAATTTCCTTGGCCCAATGTGAGTGTTTGCTGAAGGAAGTTAAAAATCTATAGTATATTCAATAGTTCAGTACTGGAAAAACAATGCTAAACGTCGCAGATTATTGATTGCATCAATTCATTGAACACTTGTACTTGACCTGGTTTTATTATCGTAGTACTTCAACTATAAATTCGTTTTTTTTTTCTACAATAGTCATTACATAGAACTGTTCAGGCACGATGCGCATGCTACTCGCTATTTTAGTCCTAGCCTGCTCAATGTTGTCCGTCCTAGCCTGCTATGGAAATGGCTGCGGTGGTCAGTACAATTTCCACACTTGCAGCCAGGCAATTTGCCACAATGGAAAGTATGTAGGTTATGGATGTCGACATGGTGTCTGTCCCTTTGTCTGTCATGGTGCTGGATGCCAAAATGCTCGAATCTCCTTCAATAGTATGAATCCTTCTCAATTGAGAAACAGTGCCCTATATGGAAATTGGGGAACTGGAGCCTACGGATATCGTGGATGTTTTGGAGGTAACTGTGGCTTCTGGGGAGGCTGTATGAACGGTCAATGTGGGGGATTCTACGACTTTAGACGGTGCAATGCACACTCATGCTTGAGTGGTCCTTACCACGGATATGGCTGCAACGGAGGTGTGTGCAGATACATTTGTTTTGGAGGAATGTGTCATACCCCCTATGCCTATGGTCTTGGATGTTATGGACCATCTTGCGATGGATACTACCAATTCCCCAAGCTGAATTGTGAAGGCCCAGAGTGCTATGGCTATGATGAGGAAGGAAGAGAGGAAGAAGGATACCAGGATGAGGAGAAGGAAGAGTCAAAGAATAAAAATAGTTCCACCAAAGTTGAAAATTATTGAGGTAATTAAAGAAATAAATGCTTCGATATCTCCCTTATCTAATCTTTTCAATTTGGGAGAAAATTAGAAATGGGTCCGTTGGATTTTTCCCTCAAAAAAATGTATTGAATTTTATCTACCTTATAAGTTAAGGTCATCCTCGATTCTCCAATTTACCAGTTCATGGTTGCAGAAAAATACAATTAATTAGAGGTTGCGCATGTACTGCATTCAAGAATCGTGAAGCAAATTCTGAGCACACTAATACTTTCAAATGAGTAAAATACAAGCCACATCATTAGTATGATTTAACTTGATTTATGCCTTATACGACCTGCTTACTATTCAACTTACTGAGATGATTTCCCATACGTAAGAAGTATTTATTTTATTCAGTATAACAAATGGGAATTATTAAATCAGTTTAATTCTAAGATTTCAGAAAGTGTTCCTTTAAAGTAACACATTCCAAGGTTATCTGATTTGAAGCAGTTTTTGTTTAAGACGATTAACGAAATCAGAGTTTCTGTGAGTAAATAATAGAATCAAGGAATTTGGACACCCGCTTTCCATCATGATCGTAAATATTGTATCAAATCAAAATTTTTAATTTAAAAGTCACATTAGATAAAGAAATTAATTTGCCAATGGTTTTACTTTAAAAACATTACCAGATAACTCCTATTTCATTTAGCTCATTTTAAAGTGTCACATGAGATCAAACAGTTTCTGCTTGTTTCTATGGTTATGAATGAAGAAATTCCATATGACAGTTATACACAAACAAAGATTGTTCACCAGACCCCACTGAAAGTGGTGCATGAATACAATCGTGCAGAATGCCATTAGTAACTCCCAAATTGATTGGAATTCATGGTGCGTCTCTGGTTATACCTTGGCCAGGACAGTTTCTAGTAGACGGAATCTAAGTAGCTGAATTTCAAGTGGGCATCACTTAGCTCACATCCCTAAGAGATTTACTCCTTTGCCCAGTAAATGCGTGCCACAAGAAATAAATGAAAATAAGAAAATCGTATAAAATCGCCTCATTCAAATTTTCAATTCAATGAAAAACTATTAACGGAATTTCGGCGTAAAACGCGGCTGACATTTTAATTACAGAGGTCAATGGAATAGAGATCTCCTGTTTCCCTGAGTCCCACATCTATAATCTCAAGGATTTGCCTCGAAGAATTTTGCATTTTAAGAGCATGTATGTTGCCCTTTAATGCAAGATATGATACAACATATATCTTTACATGAGCACACTTTAAAATGTTTCTTTTGAGGCCTAATTTTTCAAAATGTCAGCCATATACTTCCCTACTATAAGGGTTTATATAAATGGAAATTACTAACCCGGCGGCAAGCAAACACTGGATATGGCTTTTATAATTCAAAATAACCATGGAAAATACTTTAAATAAATTTCGGAATACTTAAATATGATAAGTAAATAAAATAAGCCATATCTCTAGCCCAGAGACTAGTACCATAAGCACCTGAACTCCAAAACCTTATTTAAATATTTCCTTTTCCAAACCTGTTCTAGATACTACCTAACCATTTGCTTAACTGGCAATATAAATTAATATTAATATGAACTCTCTTGATTGCATCGAAAGAGATTATGATGTTCATATTATGTTGTTAATTAAATTTTAACAAAGTACCAAACGGTAACAAAACATTTGGCTCAGAATAGATATGAGAATTTGATATATTTAAATTTTATAACTATAGGAATAAGCCTTAAAGCTACAAATAAATCCAAATTCAAAAGATTTAAAAATAAATAAGTATCCTTTTTAATTCCACTATTTAAGTATTTATTATTTATTTATAAAGAATGGCAGGCGTTTTGATAGTTATCATTCGCCCTTTAGTTGACTTCAAGATTCACAGAGGGGAAGGAACTTCAAAGTGAAAAAGTCGAGA